AGAGAGGAGAGGAGAAAAGAGAGATGAGAGCACAAGAGCGAGGAGAGAAGAGAGAGGAGAGGAGAGAGGAAGGAGGAGAGAAGATGAAGGAGAAGAGAGGGGAGAGAGGAGAGAAGAGAGAGAGAGAGAGAGGAGAGGAGAGAGGACTGAGGAGAGAGGAGAGGAGGGAGAGGAGAGGAGGGAGAGGACAGGAGAGAGAAGAGAGAGGAGAGGAGAGGAGAGAGGAGCAAGAAGAGAAGAGAGTGGATGAACCCGGACTTAAATTTCCTGATTGGTGTGACGCGTGGGGTGTTATTATCTTTGCGATGTACGTGTCACGTGTCAGCATTCGGGTTCGTGGATCTTATCAGGTTTTTTGCTGTGGAGGCTCGGGCTCAATTGTTCACTCGCTCACCCGCTCGTCGGCCAAAGCTGTGGGGGCCGGGTACGTTTTTTCTTTTGTTTTTATCGATTTTGCTGTCTCACCCCCTCAGGCGCTCCTCGGCCGAACACGCCGCCAAAAAATGCACGGGTTCTACATTCTGCCTTGCATTTCTGATGAAAGAAGCATAAAAAGCACTTTTGGCATCCAGGACGTGTGAGAGGAAGATTCACAAAAGACCTGAGCTTAGAACCCTCACCATAAGCCTGATTCATCGGGCCCGCATTGGTACAGCTATCCATAAGAACCTGCTCATTATGCTGCAATCGCAAATCCAGGGATCTCACTTCAGACCAGTCTGGGAGGGTATGCGAAGTTGGGTTGACGCCCATGTCATGGGCACGATGGGGTGCGCACTCTTTTGAATCTGCTCAAATCTTGCGCATGCAGGTTGTCAACTGCGATTGCCAGCCATCTCTTCCTTTTCGTGTAAGGAAACTGTGTGATACCATGGACTGTGACATAGAGATGAAGGCTCTTCTAGAGTTCTAAGCCAGCTGCATTCTCCTTTTTCACCGCAATGGGCTGTACCGAGCGAATGGCACGTAACAATGGCAGCAGCGAATGACATGAACGACCTGCGTGACTAGCCAAGAGGGCTATATGGTTTAGGGTTAGGTTTCCGAGCTTAAGGTGTAGGGTTTAGGGATTAGGGTACATGCTGTCTGAACGCACCCCCGCTTGCGTTCCACCCCCATGTCGACCTCTGCGGTTTTCGCGTTTCCTTGAATTTGCCTGAACAAGTGCACCGTGCCCGCAGCAGACACCAGCCCAAATCTGTCCAACGTGTCCGGCTCGACAGCCCTCTTCTTCGCAGCCGTTTTTCCGTTCAGTTTGACTTGGACAGTGCTTACGCAGAATTGGCCCGCTCAGTTTGAATTAGACAGTGCGTAAACGCTTTATAGCCAGTTGTCAGTTGTCAGGGAATTTCATGCGGGCGGGTACTCCAATTTGCGCCTAGGCTGCGCAAAATAATGTGCTCGAGTTTGTAGCACTGTGTGTCACGTGGAGCAAATGAGTTCATCATAGTTCATCCATTTCACTACGTCTCCTTTATGGCTGAATAGTCACGGCGCTGTGCGGTCTAAAAGGGCGGACAAACAAAAGGATTCCAGGCGGGGTCAAAGAACTCCATGCCACCCAACCCGATAGCTGCGTTGGAGCCACGCTTTGCAGCTTATTTGCCTTTCAGGATCCAGGGCACTGTCCTTGGAGGCCCAGGCTGAAAGATGCAAGGTTTGGATTCTCAGCTGAGCTTGGCTGCTTTCTTTCATGCTATTTTCGCTTTGGTGCATGACACTTCCGAAAAAATATTCATGCTAACGCTTTTTGCAACTTTCTGCGTAATTTTGCTTAACCCTTCCGTGCGTCTCTGAAATTCCTGATCGCGTTCCCACGAGGTATGAATGGGTCCTAGGGTACCCTGACCAGAAAACGCGAAGGCTTGGGTTTGGATCTGGCTTGAGGTTTCCAGGCATAGCTTGTGCAAGGTTTGGGTTGGGTCTGGCTTGAGGCCCTCTGGCATTCTCAGATTTAGCCTTGGTTGGAGGCCTTTCGACCTTGAACGACTTGGGCCTGCGGCTGCCTGTGAGACTGGGAACCCTCCCAAGCGGTTGCAAGAAGCACACGCATGCAATTGTGAAGGGCTTGAGAATCCAAACCCCGACAGCGACAAAAGTTCTGCACTTTACGATAAGCACCCGCAGGAGCTTCCATGGTGTTTCCTCAGGACTGCGGAATGTAACTTCGCTGCACGTGTCCCCACATTGATTGCAGAAGGCCGATCCTTCACGGCCCACATTGAAAAAAAACCTGATGTCTCCATTGCTTCTACCTTCTGAAGCAACGAGCTTTGCGAATGACGCCGCTTGAATTGATCAGATGGTGTCCGCCCAGCGCTTTGCTCTGCGGTGACTCGTAGAAACCCTGTCGCTTCCCATGAAAGGAGTGTAGTGCGCCGAGGATGTTAATGTCCACTGGAGGTGCGCTAGCCGCTAGAAGCCGGAGAAATATTTTGCTGGTCATAAACGCTGTATGGATCAGTTGGTGGTGCGGATCAAGCACAAGGAGATGCGCTAGCTGAGGGAAGGCTGTCTGCTCATCGTGCGAAAGATTTGAATAGAACGAAAGGTGCGAGGGACCCTGGGATGCGTGGGATTGAGATGGCATCGTTGCCTTGTCACTTGCTTCACTTGCTTTTATGCATTGAGTGGGAGCCTAGCCAAAAGCAGCGCGTGCATGATCAACTGGAACGTACCGCTATCTTTGTGAGCCAAGAGTGCCACGGTATCTCACAGCTTTGATCGCTGGGGATGCTGCGATGTCGTCGCGCGCATCCTCCAGGTATGCAAAAATGTGACTTTGTGAAGCTTTTCGAAGCTCGTCGAAGGGCCAAGGCCGAGGTGACAGAAATGTTGGAAGAGGCAATTCCGCTATCGCTTTGTGTTTGGCAGGTGTTGGAACTTCCTCTTGTTGAGGGACATGAGAAGTGCCAGAAACTGCGTCCTCTGGAAGAAAGTCACAGTCGATGTAGACCTTCACCTTTCCGGCGGCTTCTGCCCACGCGTAGTCCTTCAGCTGTTGCGCATTGCGCGACGCTGGCGCACGTTTCAGCATTGCAGTTCATGAATGATGTTCCTTGATCCAAAGCACCTTCTCCTCTGTGATGAGCTCCGTACCGTCCTGGTCCAAGCACAGCTGGGTGCAGAAAAGGCAAAATCCCAAGTTTTCAGAGCTGCAAATGCAGAGCTCCTGGAGCAGCTCCGGTGGGCCCCCAGTGACGAGTCCTCGCTACGCCGCTACGCTTCGCTACGCTTCTCTTCTTTCCCTCTTCAAATTCACTTTAGCCCTTGCACAACTCCTGGGCCGGCAATGATCTTGGCATCCTGCACTCCATGTGTCTCAAGACGTCTGGTGCCACAGGCCAGCACAGGGCCTCCGGAATCTCGAACTTCCGGCTGTGAGCGAAGTAGTAGGCGTTCTCACCTGCAAAGCTGTGCCAAAGAAAACCTTCAAATGAGCCTCACAGCTGAGCTGTAGCTGCACTAAAGCTGAGCCTTTTTCTGAGATGTTTTGATGGAGAGCCTCATGACTTTCTGCAGCTTCTGCAGCAAATGAAGACACTACCAGTGACGCCAGTGCTGCATCCATCCACTGCATTGCATGGCGTTGCATGCTCCCTCTGAGACATGGGCTGACTCACATTGCTGCAGCTGATTGCGCCGCACACAGTTGTCAATCTGGGCGACTGGCACTGTGGCGGTTGCCTCAGTCAGCGGAATTCTTGTATGTTCCAGCTTGGCGCTGGCAAACTGTAAGGACCCGGGCCATGGCGATGGTGACGGTGAAACGGGACTTTGAGCCCGAGCCCGAGCTACGACAGCAGACAACATCGGAGCATTCCAGCTAGCGCTCTCTAGCTCTCTGTAGCTGCAGCACTGGCACTGTAGGTATCTGTGGGTCTCACCTTCCTCTGGCTGGGCTTGAAGCCATCCACCATGGAAGGAATTGCTCGAGCAACCTCAGAAATCGATCGAGCAACCTCCGCAGGTGTTGTACAGCGTCTGCAAGGCTCCATACATTGGCCTTTGCAAACAGCACCAGCTCCTTTGCGTTATGTCTCAAGGCAGCGCTTGCTCCGCTTGCCCTGCGTGCCACGCTGGCCTTGTCCACAAAATCCTTGTAGCTTACCTCATGAGCTCATGAGCTCCGCCAAGTCAAGGAGACAACATAAGGAAATATTTGTCTGTTTCACTAGCTTCACTAGCTCCCATTTGCCGTTTGCTTCGCTGTCTCTGCCATAACACCACGCAGTTGTATCAAAAGCGCACCTTGTGCGCGAAAAGATTTGAAGATCCTTGACGGAATCCTGCCTTGTTGCTGCAAAGCCTTGCGTGTCCAGATTGCTTTTGCTCCGCACTTCCATGCAAGTCATGTTACTCCACGAAGTAGGCAGCCATAGCCAGAGTCAAGGAGTTCCTTCCACAAGATGTCGACTTTCAGATGCCCCAAGACTCAACAATAAATCTGGAAACAGGCCGTTAAACCACGTTGCATTTAAGGTTCCAAAATTCGCGTTTTCTGGTGGCGATGGCCTTCAAAGAGGCAAGCTGTGGCCGTCAATTTTTTTGATTATCCGATTTGAAACGTCCAGAGGCTGAAAACCAAGCCGCCAAGGCATGGCAAGGAATAATGCGTTAACAATCAGGTTATATCTGTAGTAAAATGGCGCAAGTCATTCTTGTGCAAATTGTGTTATGGATCCCTGATAATGGATGGTGTGTGTGTGTGTGTGAGAAGGGTAATGTGGATAATTGGTAAACCTGGTCAGCATCAACGTAGCTCTGCATCGAATGCCAGCCAGCCACTGCGTAAGTTCTTGAGAAGTGAAGTGCTTGCGGAGAAAAACGTGATTTCAGCTGTGTGGCAAATGAAAGCACCCAGCCATCCGTGTTCATGGTCAAAAAACATCTGACCCGCACGGCTTTCTGCAACGTCCGCAACAGCCTAAAAAGATGGGTGGCCATGTTGTCATAAATCTACGAGTATTTGCGTCTTATGCTACTTCAGGGCGTCAAGTTGTCTGCTCGGGGCATGACGGCTCGGCTTGAAGGTTCTTCCTGGGACCCTTTCTGAGAATATACATGTTGTTACATGTTCAGCACACCACGGCGACAAGAACAGCCACTAAATCGCACCTTTTTGACGGCAAATGCAGCACGCAAAGTGAAAGCGTTTAAGCAATCAACAAGCATGGAAAGTGTGGACCACGGAAATTGAAATAACTACCTACTTTGCCTTCATAAGTAATAGAAATATATCAGGTTGCCTGGATTTTTATGCGAAAGCATCCCTTTCACCTTTTGCTTCAGCCTAAGCTACCATTTCAGTATGTGCTCACTGGTGAGTGGCATGTGACGAATACGAAATGCAAAATACATGGGTCACACACTGCATCATGCTACGCGGCAGCTTCTGGCCAAGCACCAGGTGCGCCTATGGTAGCTGCCGTGGTTCCAACGCTGCCAATCCCCTCCAAGCCATCTTTGATGGGCGGCAGCTGAGGATTTTGCCTTTGCCGCTGTTTTTTGTGCTGCCGACTGCTTTGCGTTGGCCTGCTCATCAGCCTTCACTGTTGCCTGGGCTCCCCGGATGTTGCCGCCGAGCATGTTCTGAATCTCCTTGAAGGGCGCACCCAGGGTTGCTGCATTAAGGATGACCAAGCCATTGAACGTCAGGATTCTGCGGACGGCTTCGTTGCCGCGGGCCAAACCTGCGTGTGTGGTAGCGTTCATGAATGCTCCATGAACACCACCGCCCATCGTACGGGTGGTGTTTGAGTCTGCGAGGCCAGAATCTTCAGGCGCAGCTGGCCCTCGCACTAGGTGATGGGATGCGCGCCTCTAGCCTCCAGCCCTCACCTACAGCGGGAATCTTGCGGACCTCACGTTTGCCAACGAAAGAAATCTTCTGCTGCTGTGACTTGATGATGTTAAATGTGGGAAGCCCCATCCAGCTGGCATCCCCGACTCCAGAATCAAACTTACCCGCTTTCCAATTCCATGACTGTTCGACGCTAGCCCTTCCGGTCGGATCGATGTTGACCAACACAACCAGTTTGGAACGAAGCTGCGAGGCAGGAGCTGAGAAGTCTTGCGTAGGGGCATGCGCTCTCAGTAGTCAGCAGAAGTCGGCTCACTGCGGGCGGCTGCTGCGAACGCCGGTGTCATAAGAACACATGAGGCAGCAGGCTGGTTGTTCTCTCTGTAAACGGCTAAGACCCAACAGAACCACAACCCTGGCTTGCAGCACGGGACACCGAACTCCTTCTTTAGCATCCCACGCAATGGCAAGCGGTTGTCAACCGCGGACCCCTTAAGCCCAGCGCCGATGATGTTCATCATCATGGTGTTGATGATATTGCTTGCTGAGAATGGTTTGGTCAATGCACAAAAGCCAACAGGAAATCACACTGGTCCCAAACTCTTTTGACCAAACCATTCGGACCACAAGCCACCCAACAAGAAGAGACACTCTGTGGCCTCTTCTAGTTTTTCCGTTAACTTTGTGAAACCATGTTCATGAAGAGTCCATCGACCCTGTTTCATGACAAAACGCAAGTAGTTTCCACCGGTGTTCTTTGTCAGAGGATCGGCTATCATGCTTCGACCGTCGACCCATCGAATGGTTCCTTCCCCCTCGATTTCGTGCTTGAGGACAGAAAGATCAATGGCGGTTCGTTTATCTTCAATTTGACTGTAGGGACATGTCTTCTTAGAGAGGGCATCGAACAATGACTTAGAATCCGTAACAGCTAAGTAGGGGCACTTAGACAGCTGCTTGTCCCAGTCCTGGTTGGCGATCAAGGCTTGTTGAGCTTCTAGAAGTAGAAAGCGGCGCCAATGAACGTTTCCAATGCCTGCGACCAATGACTGACATTCGGCTGCTAGAGTGTTCACTACCCTTCAGCTTGAGCTTGTAGCTTTTCCAACTGGCCAAGGTAATCGACGCCGAAGGTTCGTACTGCAGGTCTGCATCATGGTAGAAGAGTAAGTGACCACCTTGACTATTCAACCGCTGGTTTTGCAAGAAACCTTCGTGGATCTGGTTATGACTAAGCTGACCCTTAGGAAAAACTGTTTGTCCATACCATGACAAAGTATCAACCTTAACAGAACCCGCTGTATTCCACTCATCCTTGAACTCTTGCTCCGACTTGTCGTTTTCGTACTTCTTCAGAGCGATACGTTCTCCAGAGAGCTGATGCAGGTCCGGGCCATGATCACTCATGCCAGGATGATACAACGATCTGCGGGGTCGGCAGTGATGTCGAATCCAATGATGGGAGGTTTCCACCCAGTAGTCACTGTCCGGATTCTCCTTAGCTTGGGGTTCTTGAGCGTTACCCCATGAAGCATCCGTCACCACGCTCACGCGAAGCTTGTCAATGGGAATCGGCATGATCTTCACACCAACCGGATTCTTGATGGCATCATTGGCAAGCAAGTTGGCCGACAGGATATCCTTGACTCGCGGCCGAGGAAAGCTTTGTTGTAGGAGAGAGACTCTCCCGCTCGGGTCTCCTTCGCTAACCATGCCAATGCGCCCACAAGTTACAAACGGAGTATCTTTGGCTCCTCCTGGTCTTTGGGAGGTCGATGAACTGGACTTTTTCCGTGACATAGTGCTCCTGCTCGACCAGGATGCTGCCATCCTCTTGTGGAGTGAACTGTTTGCCTGCAAATCTGCCAGCACCGTACTGGAACTTGCCCAGCTTGTACTTTTCGTTGAGCCTCTTCATGTTTTCTTGATGCTCCTGGTCGCCACCATGAAGAAGATCATCAGTGGCCACGGAAATGATACCTGTCAACCATTGCCACCCTTCGCGTTGTGGGTCATGGAGGAAGTACAAGCAGGGGTCTGCTAAGCTTTGGTGATATCCCAGTTCTTCAACTAACACTTTATGAAGATGACGATGCCAAGCCATGGGCCCATCCAACAAACCGTAACAAGTCTTTAACAATTTCAGGATTTGGCCACGTTTGAGGCCAGGGATGCCCTCCGGAGGCTGCTCGGCATACAACTCCCGCTTAATTGGGTCCCCGGAATGAAAAGCCTGCGTGAAATCAAGAAACCCTAACTTCCAACCTTTACTAGCAATAATTTGCGAAGTAAAGATCACCCCTCCCCTAGTGATTTGGGGAGTGGCAGCCTCAAGATCCTCAGCACCCTGTTCCGAAAAACCTTTCATGACATGCCTGACCTTGGCCTTGCAAGTAGTCCCATGCTCACCTTGCAGAAGCAACCCTTCCATGACAGCCTTATCAACGTCATTGGCCTCTAGAGGTTTAGCCGTTTTAACATATCTGGACTGCATGAGGCGGTCACCCTTGGTCCTGCGAATGATCTCGCTCTCAACCTCATCCAGGATCTGGTAGGCCCCGGTATCCAGGTTGTTCTGGATCTCCTTCTCCGCAGCACGCTTAAAGGCGTCGCGGTCCTGGATGATGAGGTCCTTTAGGTTGATTTCTTAGCGCTGCCTCGTCTTGAAAAGGGTCTCCAGCTTCGCATAGTAGAGCTCCAGGAGTTTCACTCGTGTCCGCTTCGTTGGCCGTTCGGAACTGTCCGCCTCGTGCTCTTCGTACCCGTTCGCGGTCGCTCGTTCACGTATACTTCACCCCGTCTTGGCTCTGTGCTTTCCTCCGTTCGTTCCGTACTGGCACCCGTCTGGCCCGTGTCCACCATCGCCGGTGCCATATCGTCGATCCGCTGGTAGAGGAACTCGTTCAAAGGGGACCGTGTGCTCCATCGTCTTGGTGCGAACTCGCCGTCCTGGTACTATAGTCGTTCCGTGTCGGATTCGTCCGGTGGCTCCTGGTACTCGTCGTTTGTGGGCTGAGGAGGTAACGGCTCGTCAGAAAGTCCTGGTAGCCTCTCTTCGCTGTTGACTCAAACTCCTTCTTAGCCTCCACGAGTCCCTCAAGCCAGCCGGACACGGTGAGTTGTTCCTCTTCACTAGCCGGCCGGATCCTTTCCGGCGAAGCCTTGATCAAGCCTCCCTGAAAGCTCAACCAAATGGCGCGGGGTAATCAGTCATGATCACCCTTGCTGGTCCGTGCCATCGATGTGCACTAGCTACTCCCTAAAACCCACCACCATCCCACTAGCACCACCACTAGTGGAGGTTAACGGTGAAGTCCTTAAGACCCTAGCGGACAGGACCGTTCCTTTTTGCACGGATGGCCGATCCCTGTATCGCCCCAGGAGATATCTCCCACACT